TGTCGTACAGAGTATGTTACTTTTCTAGAAGATTAAATACGTAAACAATAAATAATCCAAACATTGTTGGCTGCAGCAGCTGACAATTATTTAATAAATTATAATCACAGAAGCATTTTTGTTTGAGTGCTTAAATATTGACAATAAATTAAAATATACATAATAAATCTTTACATGATATTGGTTTCCTAACCTCAATAAATTGACACGGAGTGTCAATATACAGTGCGGTGATAGACAGCTTTAAATATGATGTCCGAAACGTTTAATCATAAATTATTTTATAACACGGTGTTGTCGCAAGCTTTTTCTCCAGATGGAAATTTTTTGGTGGCTGGAAATATTTATGGAGACGTGTCAGTTTTCGAGTAAGTTTTCTGTCATGATTGTAAACAACTAAAATTATAGGTTAAGTTACCGTTTACAGTAACGAATTTTCTACAAAATGCGTTAATTCTTGAACATTCAAGCATCTCAGATTTTATACATTAATGAAATGATCAACAGATTATCGAAAGCGCTGGGGCCCCATAAAGTAGAGGAAAATGAGCTGCAGGGGCCCACATACCAATTTGCTGCTCATCCTAATCAACAGGTAATGAGCATGGTATCTACGGAAAATTTCCTTGTAACTGGAAGCTCTGGAGAAGTGTGTGGATGGAATTGGAAGATGGTTACGTCTAATAAAGCGCCGAAGATTAAAGTCTCATGGACGATTCAACTTCCCGTTAATAAGTAAGATATCGCATCGTTGTTATAATATATCCTAGAATCTGTAAATATTACAGTTAATGAATTTCCAGGGATAGTTACGAGAAACCAGACGTAAACTACCTAGTATACTCTAAACCGAACAATGTGTTATACGCCGGTTGTGGGGACAACCATATTTATGTAATTAGTCTGGAAGATGGTAGAATTATAAGGAATTTACAGGGACACACCGATTACGTTCATTGTCTCTCATTGATGTATGTATCATATAATTAATGCGATAGTAATATTATATATTGAAGCATACTATATTAAAAAAAAATATTTATCCTTTCTTAGGGGTAGTCAATTAGCGTCAAGTGGAGAAGATGGAACAGTGAGGCTGTGGGATCTACGTAAAAAAGAGAACACTAATATTCTAACTCCACATTTGGTAGAAAAAGTTGCGCGACCGTGGTTGGGCAAATGGATCGGAGCGATAGACTTCACCGACGACTGGCTCGTGCGTATTTTTACATTGTATAATTCGGTACAAAGCGGTATCTCTAAGCTGACAAATATTAATATATGATATATAATATCATGTATTAAATATATTTATTATATTATATTAAATATAATATATATATTATTATATTATATTAAATATATTATTAAATATAATAATTATATATTAATATATAATATTAATATATATAATTATTTTGAAAGTGGCATAAGTCACTTTGTTATGAAGTCGATATATTTAAGGGTTTGCGTTTTAACACGTTTAAAAATATGGACGCTAACTTTCGAGAAGATTTACTTGTATTTGTTATTATCTCAGGATACTGATATTTTTCTCAGTATAAATAATTTCGTACAAACATTAAAAACATCACCACTTTTCATTACNGATAGTAATATTATATATTGAAGCATACTATATTAAAAAAAAATATTTATCCTTTCTTAGGGGTAGTCAATTAGCGTCAAGTGGAGAAGATGGAACAGTGAGGCTGTGGGATCTACGTAAAAAAGAGAACACTAATATTCTAACTCCACATTTGGTAGAAAAAGTTGCGCGACCGTGGTTGGGCAAATGGATCGGAGCGATAGACTTCACCGACGACTGGCTCGTGCGTATTTTTACATTGTATAATTCGGTACAAAGCGGTATCTCTAAGCTGACAAATATTAATATATGATATATAATATCATGTATTAAATATATTTATTATATTATATTAAATATAATATATATATTATTATATTATATTAAATATATTATTAAATATAATAATTATATATTAATATATAATATTAATATATATAATTATTTTGAAAGTGGCATAAGTCACTTTGTTATGAAGTCGATATATTTAAGGGTTTGCGTTTTAACACGTTTAAAAATATGGACGCTAACTTTCGAGAAGATTTACTTGTATTTGTTATTATCTCAGGATACTGATATTTTTCTCAGTATAAATAATTTCGTACAAACATTAAAAACATCACCACTTTTCATTACGGTAAAGTGACTTATGCCACTTTCAAAATAAACGGCTCATATATACATGTTTATTTCTTTTTCAGTTATGCGGAGGCGGACCGAGTCTATCGTTATGGCATATGCGTACGATGGAAGCAGCCACCGTATTCGACTTACCGGACGAAGGTATTCACGTGGCAAATATATACGAGGAACGCGTGATAGCTGCTGGAACAGCACCCCATGTCTACCATCTAACGTATCAAGGAGAAACGTTAGCCAAAGTGCCGACCTCCAGCTACACGGTGTACAGCATAGTTTACCAAGAAACACCGCAGAAGATGCTCAGCATAGGCGGCTCCTCGAACAACCTCGACGTGTGCACGAACTTTAATTATCGCGAACTGATGCTGAAGTTCGAGTAACGAAGCACCCGACAGAATTACATTCCTTCATCGAACGCAGGAGAGGAGGGCCTCGTTGCATGTACATATATTATTTAATAAATATATTAATACAATGTGCATTTTATAAAACATAATATAAAAACTTTTTGTACAAATATATACACAATGTGGTGATTCGTAGTTATCACGCGAGGATACGCTCCCATGAAACATCTCTTGGCGTCGAATGAACATGTACAAACAAACATGACTATAGAGGCTCTGCCGACCGTTTACAATGTTAGGACCAACAACAGGGGTTGTTAACAGTATATCGCTGGAATATACGCTGATACATGGAACGATCACAGAAAACCGTGGCCAGCGATCACTGCAGGTATGAAGCCTTCTCTGCCGTCTCGCGACCGGACCCAGAACCAATCGTTCACATGGTCGCTGAGGAGGGCGACCACGTCCCCTTTCGAGACGCTCAAGGCGTTTCCACCGCGAGCTTCGTAATCGCTGCGTATCACCAGCAAAGTGTGACGGGATCCTTTGGTTCTAGCGTTCGCCGCTGCCCTAAGGTACAATCTGTCCACGCTGCGTTCCCCGCAGGCTGACACGGCGTCCCTGGAGCCTCGTCTTACCCTCGAGCTTCTGCCACGGCCGCCGCACTCGGATCTGGTGTCCCTCAGTTTCTCTGTATCAGTCATGTTACCTGGATAAACGTCTCGAATCAATTAGCCGCACGCGGCAAAATCTTGTCCAACTAATCTAATCCGACGTTGTTGCTCGTCACCGGAGTTATCTCGCCGAAACTATATTAACGTTTCTCTACCTAAGGGACGTGGAAATACATCCGTGGAGTCCTCCCAGCAGGGTCCCCTCGTCGGTTGAGGCAGTATCCCCAGCGGAAGACAAGCGGCGTAGCCGACGTAGCCTTCCTGACCATGCGGGGTCTGCACGTACAACCAGGTCTGATTTTTAAACACCGCGTTCACCACCGTGCCAAGAGGAAGAGCCATCTCGTCCTGAGTTCCACCTTGGGTTTGATACAACACCGAGGGAAAGGATAGAACCACCGGAATGTTCGCCGGTTTCTCTATGGAGGCCTGGAAACATTCGAGACGTTTCCTCATAGTTTCCTCGACTTTCGAGCGGCAACGATTCTTTCGACTGAACAGAAGTTCGAACCTTTGTAAGGAACGCGTCCAGATCGGCGATCTCGTATCCGAACCTGCTAGGAGGTCTGGGTTTGTGAGACCGTTTCGTTCTTCTGTGCCTGTGCTTCTCCCGACCACTCGGCGTGGACGTCGACTCCCGGGACACGAGGGAAGGTTCGGACACCGCTCTCTTCACCTTCTCTTTCTCCTTGGCCTCCTTCAGCCCCGGGAAGTCCTTCTCGGACTGCTTCTCTAGAGGACAGTCCAGGGAACTCTCATTAACCGGGGCTTCTTTGCCGACGGCCTGTAAATATCGTACGCGTCAGTGTTACTGCTTCGTTATCCAGGAACAGCGCCTCGATCCAGATACAATATAGGATTTAGGGATACGGACTTCGGATAGAAACCGAAGAAGTTTCAACGAACCTTCTCCTGAACCTCCTGGACCACCTTCTCCGTCCTCTCGATCTTCTCTATCCTATGCAGGATCTTCTTCTCCCGCTTCTCTACGTCGAGGTTCTCTTTGCCAGAGATCTTCTCCTTCTCGCTTTTCACGCTCCTCTTCGACGATCTCTCCTTGGTGTCCCGCGATAGACTCTCCCGATCGCCGTTCGCACCTGCGAGCAATTAATATATTATTTGTGATATTATATTATATATAATATTTATTATATATATAATATAATATATATATTATTGATATATTATAATCTATATATATTATTATATTAATATTATTATTATATATTATATATTATAGTATATATATATAAATTAAAATATTATTTGTAATATATATAATATAATATATATTATTAATATATATATATATTATATATATTATTAATATATATATATTATATACAGGGTGCCCAAAATTACGGCATTTCCGGGAAATGTGGTGTTCCCGAGATCATTCGAAGTAACTTTCTCCTTTACAAAAATGTTCTCCGAGGCATCGTTAACGAGTTATTAACGAAAAACACTGGCCAATGAGAGATCGGCGTACGGGCGACGCCCTGCCCTCGCCACCGCTGCCGCTGCGCCAGACGGCCGGCGCGACGCGGCATTGGCCGCGAGGGCGGAGCGCTTGTCGCGCTCGCTCTCCGATTGGTCGGTGTTTCTCGTTGATAACTCGTAAACGAAGCCGCGGATCGCATTCTCGTTGAGGAAAAAGTTGCTTGAAATGATCTCACGAACCCCTCAGTTCCCGTAAATACAATAATTTTGGGACGCTCTGTATAACATTCATTTCGCGTCGTTTTACCTGCGCTCTCGTTGCCGGTCGTATGGTTGTTGTTGGAGGCGGGCTGCTGTTGCCCGCGTAGGACCCAGGTCAAAGAGATCTTGGGGCGCAAGAGGTTGCTTGGACGTTGCCCCATGCTCCTCGGCAGCGCGAGGGGCGTCGGCGATCTCTCGGGTGACGGCGACCTCGAGGATGCGGCCACTACCTGCAGCGGACAATCCGCCACCAGGTCCACCGTCTGCATCGAACAGCCATGTTCCTGGAATTCAACGAATCGGTTCGGTTCGTTTTCTTTTCTCGAGACACAAAATTTTAGTCATAGTTTGTTTGTTTTCTTTTTTTGTACATTTCAATCCAATCGAAATTAATTAAACTCTTCGATAGACCGATCTGTAATGACAAAAATCACGAAATTATTTCCCCTTATTTCTCCAAGGTCACGAAGTAAAAATTTAACGCTATTCTGACGTTGTACGAAACAGAAGAGAGCAAAGGGACGACTAATTCGCACCGCGCGTATCCTCTTTTTAGAGCACCGTCCGAAACGAACGCTCCGGCAAGAAAATGATCGTTCTCGGCTTTCGGCGATTCCGCCGACATACAGGGTGTCTCAGAATTACGGTACTTCCGAGAAGCGAAGAGATTCCTGAGGCGATTCGAAGTAACTTTTTCCTCAGCGAAAATGCGATCCGCGGCTTCGTTTACGAGTTATCAACGAGAAACACCGACCAATCGGAGAGCGAGCGCGACAAGCGCTCCGCCCTCGCGGCCAATGCCGCGTCGCGCCGGCCGTCCGACGCAGCGGCAGCGGTCGCGAGGGCGGGGTGTCGGCCGCGCGCGATCTCTCATCGGCCAGTGTTTTTCGTTAATAACTCGTTAACGATGCCTCGGAGAACATTTTTGTAAAGGAAAAAGTTACTTCGAACGACCTCGGGAATCCGCCATTTCTCGGACGCACCGTAATTCTGGGACACCCTGTACATCGCGGAGAGACGGCCGATGCGAATTTCAGAATCCTCGTTAATTTCGTCTCGCCTTCCTAGACGGGATAACGAGCGGCACGACCCCGATTCTACCCGCATCTCGGGCCCCGCGGAATTTATTAGACGACGAACCCGTTAATAACGTCTCGAAACAAAATACACATCGGAAAACGGCTGTTCGTGTCGCGCGCGTATAAATTAGCTGGTTCCTCGATCGGGGCCCCGTTAAATCCCGTCGCCCGTTCCCCTCCCGGCCCCGTCCAGAAAGCGGATTATTAATTCGTTCCATAGGCGCTCAATTAACCCGAAGCAGAGTCGCGGAAATGAATTATACGAGGGCCGCGGAGCCGCGTAGAAATTTACGGCTGTCGCCTCGCATAAATACCCGGGGGCCCACGGCCACCGTGTTTACGGACGTTCCACGCTAGTCCCGCGGGGCCTCGCTTTCTCGCCTCGATCTCGAACAATGAGCACCGTTCCTCCGTCTAGCATTCGATTCTCTAGAATTCACAACGATCCTGAAAAGAAAATCGTATCTCCCCTTCTCCCCTTCCGTGATTCGTCCACGTTCGTTCGCACAACCTTGACATAACCTTGACATAACCTTGACATAACCTAGCATTCAATTCTCTAGAATGCTCAACGATCGTGAAAAGAAAATCGTATCTCCTCTTCCGTGATTCGTCCACGTTCGTTCGCGGGCCCGAAGGAAGATCGGGGAGAATTTATCGCGAATTTTCGAACCACTCCGTTCGGAAGATAGAAGAAACTTTCGTCGGAAATCGGCGACACCGAGAGTCGCACCGTTTCATCGGCGACTCTTTTTTCTTTCTTCCTTTTTTTTCACGACGATCGTTACGGTCTGAAAACCGATTCGAACGCGACGCGTGGGCGTCGATATTTCATGAGAATCGTATAACACGGCCGACGTTCAACATGCGCGGCCCGGGCCCCGAGTATTCAATCTCGGGCTGCCACGAGCAGCGAGGATTTTTCTCCGTGAACGAATGGGGCCCCGTCGCGGGTTTCGAGGAACAACGGGCCGCGAAGGAGGTGTAAATTATAACGCGGGCCCGGTTCGAGAGGGCGGCTACTTAACCCGTCCATTCGACGCGTAAAATCGAAAGCGGCCCCGGTGAAACGTCTTCATTTTTCATGACCCCGGGAGAGCGAGAGAGAGAGAGAGAGAGAGGACGCGGGGCCCGAGCGTTTTCCGCCGGCCGGCCCCCCTCGCCCGCACCATCGCCCGCTTCATTACCCGGCAAAAGAAGAATAAAATGGCCGGACGTATTCGATCAGCCGCAAACAAATTATTGTATAATTTTCCCGCCGGCGCGATTACTCACGTTAATGGCGCAATAACTCATAGGAACGCGTTTGCCCGGGCCCGGACCACGCGCGTAATGTCTTCGGGGGATCGGGCCCCCGGGACGGCGGACGAGCCGCGGGGACGAGACGGCGGGCCCCTGAAATCGCGACCCGGATCGCCGGCCGACTCGTTAAACGTCATTGTGCCGTGAAAACGTTGCGCGACGGGTCGTTTCGAAAAAATCAAGTTAACATTCGGCGACTCTGCTGACACATTCGAGTCGTTTGACCCGCAGGTCCCGCGGCCGGTTAGGTTATGTTCTTCTTTGTCGAGACGGACTTTTGCTCGTTTCGTTCGTAGAACGGAAACGAGAACTCTTAAAATTATTACTTCAATAATAATACATAATAATAATACATAATTACTTTAATAATATAATTTATTAAAATAATAATTTACTTTTCCGTCGCACGATTTGGGGGATGATCTGTAACAACCCTCGAATACAACGATTCGATTTATTTATTGGCTTGGCAACTAAGTAATTGCCGATTTCAGTTATAGATGTCTTTCACTCCCATTTTTATGATATCCGTAAATGTTATATTATAAAATTATTATTATTATTATTATTATTATTATTATTATTATTATTATTATTATTATTATTATTATTATTATTATTATTATTATTATGTTATTTTTTATTATCCGTGAATGTTAGCAACTGGACAAATCGAATGCAGCGGTCAAGGAAAAGCGACCAGAATTGGTCGATCGTAAAGGGGTCATTTTCCAGCAGGACAATGCCAGGCCGCACACGTCTTTGTCCACTCGGCAAAAATTGATGGATATTGCTTGGGAATCGATGTTACACCCACCATATAGCCCTGATCTCGCGCCATCGGATTACCACTTATTTCGATCCCTGGACAACTCCCTTCGTGCTAAAACTTTGAACGACGATGACGCTGTAAAATCTCACTTAACTCAGTTTTTGGCCGAAAAAGGTCAGACTTTCTACGAGCGTGGAATTTTCAAGTTGTCGGAGAGATGGCAAAAGGTCATCGAACAAAATGGAAAATACATTACAAATTAAACTTCGTTCCAAGTAAAAAGAATTTTTTATTTCATCGAACAAATCGGCAATTACTTAGTTGCCAACCCAATATTTATGTATTTATTTATTTGTTTATTTATTTATTGATGTATGTATGCATGTATTTATTTATTTGTTGATGTATGTATGTATGTATTTATTTATCGAATATATGTATGTATTTATTTATTTATCGAATATATACAGTAATGTCTCTCTAATCGACGCATAGATTGTCCACAGAAATGGCCAAATTGGAAAGAAGAGATTAATTTGAGTCTCGCGCCTCGTTTTTATAATTACCGATTCTTAACAACTATAAAAACGAGGCGCAAGGCTCGAATAATCGTGTCTCCACTTCCATAATTGTACATTTTTAGTAGCCAGTTAGGGAGACATTACTGTAGTAATTTCTCCCGCATTGTCCTTCGACTTGGAAACGATAACGGACATCTTGAGAAGAGGAGATACGATTGTCCGAGTCTGCCAGCTCATTTTTACAGTCTCTCGGTTATTTAAAAAATTCAAAAGAAGAAAATAAAAACACTATACAGGGTGTTCGGAAACAGACTTCATCTTCGATATTGCCGGTCGACCGTTCGTTTGACACCGTCACGCCGCAGAATTATTCCGTAAATGTGCTCGCAGCTGCGCCAAGGCCGAGAAGAATCGTCGAAGGACCCGAGAAGAGAGGATCCGGAGGTCGGCGGAGGAGCCGAGCGAAATAATTTGGGCCACGGAGAGGTCGACTAAATCGGCGACCGGGCCCCTCGGCTCGCCGAGACGAGTCCCCAGGGTGCGAGGAGTGGGGGGGCCGGAGGGAGGGTCCCGGCTTAAATGACAGAAAGGCTGGTCCGTGGCGCGAACGAACACGCGAGGTAGCCCCGGGTGACAAGTTAAAGAGGGAGGAGAAGGAGGTGGTGGCGCGAGCCGTGCCGAGCCTCCTCGGATCATGCTAATGAAATTCTCAAGATATCTATCTCGCGCGGCCACTGTGCGCGAGGCATTAGTTTAGCGTCCCGCTCGCGGCCACCTCGATCTTATCTGTTCGCCGCGTTCGTTCGGACGCGTGGTATCAATTTCCGTGGAACGTGAAACGGCTGGACTAAAGGCCCGTCCCCGGCTCGTCACAGATTTCAGCTACCGGTTGATTTCAGCCACCGACCCGGTCGTCACCGACGACCCAATCGACCCACGAACGCCGTTCCCTCCGATCGGAGATCTCTAGGATTTCCGGGCAATTCTCCGATGACAATCGAGGGCCACGGAGTCGCGTCTTTCGTAAGAATTGTCTATGAAATTAGAACGAGACGGGCTGTGAATTATTTGCAAGCAAGATTCCAGTCGTTTCGAAACTTTTCTTCAAGTGTTAGTCAAACCTTGGTAATCCTTTGCACTCGAAGCAATTTTAATTCTAAATCCGGTAAAAAGATCACGAGAATTTAAAAATGTAAATGTCTTTTATTCTCGATCGATTAGAGCGATTGTGGAAAGAAAAGCGTGGAAACAGAAATGGATAATTTGGGAAGAGGAGACAATAGTCGCCGATTGTCAGGCGACGAGGCTCGAATAATCGCATCTCCTCTTCCCAAATTGTCCATTTCTGTTTATCAGCCGAGGGACAATTGGAGAGAATTTACTGTATTCAGTTTCTATTTCTTGCAACTAATGCGGACAATTTTTATTTTGCATAAAAATCGGCAGTTTGGTAATAATAATAAGGATGTTACGACAACAACAAGATTTTTGTGCAAAATGTTCGCATACGCGAGAACATGGGTCCGTTTGGACCCGATCATGGGGCTTCGCGTGAACGCCCAACCGTTGGTATTATTCTAATACTAATCTATTTTTTCTATTCAATTTTT